CCAGAAGGTTATAAACACCACCAAACATTCAATAAAACATTCAAACCTCAAGCAACCAATGATTTCATTCAAAGGCCTTCCAGAATAAAAATATTTTCAACGTATGCCAGAAGGCCTGATATCAGCTGCTCTTCCTAAGGGATGGAGTTTCTCTGTTTTAGGGCAGGAGTCAAAAAGTCCTTTTGCTGAATCTCCAGCAACTGAATCTTGGATAATACAGACTCCCATAGGAATCCCTTGCGTGGACATCTCTAATCTCAGGCAGAACGCTCCTCCCACCCCCATACAGCTGTATCTGAAGAAGTGAGCAGTGACTCATGAAAGCTCATCCCCTGCCACAAATTTTGTTAGACTGGCTTTCGAGCAAGGGAACCTTTACCTTTAAGGTGCTACTGGACTCTTGTTCTTTTCTACTGCTAGAGACCAAAAGGGGGGGGGCTTAACACAGAAATATTCCCATGGCATCCCCACAATTTCTTTTCCTCTAATGCAGATTCGAGGATATCAAAATCTGTTTAACTTCCACCATTGGGGTACAGGCCTCTGCTCCCCCTCCATTTCTTATTCTCTAAAGCTGCAAGTCCCAAGATACCAAAATCAACTTAACTTCCACCATCTGAGCTAGGGCTACAGGTCTTTGTTCATATCCCCCTACAACACAAAACTTCCAACTGCCAGTATTTGGGCAACGGGTGTTTGAAACCCCCCCCCCCCAATCTACGTATAAAATGGAAATTGAATATTTGTTTATAGGAGGCCCTGAGTAAAGGAGGGCCTGGATGGCAGAATAACCTTGCCACCTTTGGGGGACCCGTTTTTCTTCTGTTACTATGCTCCCTTTTTGTGTGTAACCTCAGACACATTTGGACTCTCTAACGTGGGCTGAGGTCAGGGCATGCACCCAGAAACCCAACCAACTTGGGGGAATCACACTTGGTGTTAGGGAAACCTCTTCCCACTTGAAAAAAATGACACAGTTGCCAATAGAGTGGGCAGAACCTGTGGTTTAGGGATTTCTACCTGGATAGCATGCACTCAAAGTGCCTCTAATACAGTAGCAGGCCGGGTGAACAAACGGCAGGATAGAGCATGGCAGGATAGCCATGCATGAGACAGTCTAAGAGACATTCAGGCAACATTAGTAAAAGGTAATCCAGCTCACTTGAGATTTTGCACTCAGGAAGACTTGTATTTGCTGATGAAATAACATTGGTGCATGGTTTTCCAAGCACATGTGGTCACAGGTAGGCATGCAGATGTCCCATCAGAGAATCAGTCTCCTGCCCAAGGTTTGGGCCCCTTATTAGCATAGCCTAAGGAAAGCCTTGACCTCACCTTCTCCAAAGCCAAGTATTTTTAGCTCCTAAAACAGGCTTCTTCACAGACAGTATTACCTACTAAAGGTCCCTTGACCTTCTCCCTCTTACCTATATAAAGACAAACAAACAAAACTAGCCCTGTACCTCCTATGAACTTGCTTAATTGCTATAAAGACAAACAGGACTCACTGAACTTGAGCACTCAACAGCCTAAGCAGCTTCATGATGCTACCTGGCAACCCACTGGGAAATACTCGATGGCCTGGCATCCTGGGGGGCATTGCCCCCACTGAGAAATCCTAGTGGGGGCATGAGATCCGCTCCCCCCCCCAGTACACCCTTGCTTCAGTGGATGCATGGAGTGAAGCCTCTAAGGACTTAAATGTTACAGACTATTCCTCTTGTATTTTACAGCCACTGTTCATATTCTTTCCCCATCGTCATGTATATGTATGCATTTCACTTCGTGCATCTGAGGAAGTGGGCTCTAGCCTATAAAAAGAAACTTTTGGGCTATCAAATCATAGTTGATTTGTGGAAATCCCACAAGATTTTCAGGCAAGAGATGAGCTGAGATGGTCACTGCATAACAAGCATGAATATCCTTGGTGGTCTCCCATCCAGACTATGACCCAGGCTGACCCTATTTAGCTTCTGAGACCTGACCTAGCAAGAAAGTTTATGTTCGCAGGGCTCTTTTTGTAGCAGAAACTCCTTTGCATATTAAGCGACACACCCATAATGTAGCCAATCCTCCAAGAGCTTACAGTAGCTCCTGTAAGAAGAGCTCTGTAAACTCTTGGAGGACTGGCTACATTAGGGGTGTGTCGCCTAATATGCAAAGGAGTTCCTGCTGGACCTGTAACAATCTGGTTGAGTTTAAAGTGCCACAAGATGGGGAGAGGGGTGCTGCAACAGACTAGCAAGGCTGTTCATCAGGTGGTTTGCATAAGTAATAAGCAAAAAGTAATTGCACCTGCTAAATTTCAGCCTAGCCAGCTACTGTTCAAGGCACAGGATCAGTAAAAGAGGGCAGCTGTTTGTACACTGTGAAAAATGCAGGCACACCCTCCAAAGACACAACAGCTGGTATGGGGCGCCCTCTAGTGTTCCATTGTTCCTCTACTCAGATCAAAATTCCTGTAATAGCAGTCTGGGGTGGGCGTCCCTGTCTTTCTCCTGATGTTGACTGCAGTGTTGACTGCAGAAGAAGTGTTCTTCTGCAAGTACCTCGATGTGACATTGCACATTCCCTAGCAGTGCTTTGGCTTGTGGCATCTGTGCATCATAGCTGAGATTAACGCTGCACTCCTAAACCTACTTACTTAGAAGTAACAGGTCTTCAGTGGTTTTAAGAAACCATCCCTCCCAGCGAGAGAAGAGAGTTAAAGTATAAAAGACTTGTGCACCTGGGAAATTTGTCTTGCAAGGATGTAGTCCTCTCAGGAAGACAGAGAGTTGTTAGTAATTGTGGACTGAGAAAAAAGAAATGAGGAAATGACCAGGACATCTCAGATTACAGTCCAAATTTTTATTAAGATATACTTATATCACTTGAGGAATATACGGTAGCTGGTTTCCAAGCTGATTCCCCCATTGAAGTCACCTCTGCTACTGCAGCGGGAATGGC